ATATATATATATATATATATATATATATATATATATATAGGCACAATAAGCAAAGTAGTGAAATTACTCAGAGGTCACAAAAATGTTGTATTTTATATTGAAACATATATATATATATATATATATATATATATATAAAGTGTATATATATATTTTATATTGAAACATATATGTTTCAATATAAAATACAACATTTTTTCAATATAAAATACAACATTTTTGTGACCTCTGAGTAATTTCACTACTTTGCTTATTGTGCCAAAGGTTTGTAAGTAAGTAACAATAGTTTGGAAAGCAGTCGTCTAAAATCTCCTCGTACCTTTGGTCTCCACCTGTCCCATCCTGGTTGTTGTCTGGAGAAAAGGACCCGGGGATGCTGCAGGCCTCATCCGAGTCATCCATTGAAGACTTGTCCGAGGTGTCGTACTCACTGCTGAAGTCCATGGGCACTTCGGTGTCGGCGCTGGGACTCAGCATGTCTAGTGCAAGAGCAAAGAGGAGAGAGGGTCTGAGTTGAACTTAATTAAAACAAATCTATTCAAAATACAATGAAAGCCACCACTGTTTGCTACTTCTCTGCCATTACAATTAGTACCGTATTTTCTGGACTATAAGCCGCACCCACAAAGTGTTTAAAATTAAAATAAAAAAACTGGAAATGTAAAACTACACAAGCCGCACCAGGCTATAAGCCGCTGGTATCTCCGCCGCTCTCGGTTTTTCACAAGGACGCAGCAGAGGGCTGCAATAAATCTGCTACTAAAGACGCAACCCTCTGTCTCCAACACCGAACCAAGGATTCGTTCACGCTGATCTTACGTGCAGCGGCTATCGATCTGTACTGTCAGATCGATAACCTTCAACTTAAAAGCTGCATCATATGAGTTTGAAGAAATTTCTCTGTCGTGCCTGCTGCTAGCATGTGCTTGTTCTAAATGAAAATTAGCACTTTCTTCTTTGATTTCCAATTTTGATTCACTTCCTGCTAAAGCGCCCCCTGGTGGTTGAAGAAAAATCCACAGGAAAGCCGCACCGGGCTGTTAGCTGCTTGGTTCAAAGTGTGTGTGGGGGGGGAGTAGCGGCTTATAATCCAAAAAATACGGTACCACTGGCACTCAGAAATAGTAAAAAGACTGTTCAGCTGAATTTTAAGAGCAAGCACATCTTTACCAGCCTGATAAAAACCAGCACCTTGTTCTCCGCTTTGCTTCGCACAGAGCTGTAAGCGAGATCTGAATCGAGCGAAATAGAGCAGGAAAGCAACGACCAGGCCTCATGCTTGCATGCATTCGAGCACTGATTATACTTACCACAGTTACTTCTGTTGTCTGAAGAGATAAAAACATTAGGGCCAGTGAGTTTTAGTATTATTAGACAATATGTCATTTGGAATATTTAAGATATGTAACATGGTTATATTAGTTCTAACAAAGGAAACATGCACGTTTTCATCAAATCCATGCAGCTTACACACAACGCAGCCATGTAAATGCATTAGACGTAGAACTTATGTCTGCTCACCTCCAATGGTCTCCCCGAGGCAATCATTAGGAACCTTGTATGCACAGCGTTTATGACAATTGAATTTACAGTCTAGGAGGAATACAAGGAAAGGTTCATTTCAACGGAGCTATAAAACATTAAATAACTATTTAATATTTTATTTCACAGAAGTGATTTAAAAACACATTCCTGTTCATCTGTGCTCACCTTTGCACTGTAGGCCCTGCCTGAACAATCCTCGGAGAAGTCTCTTGCAGTACTGGCACACCGTTGGCCGTGTGTACGAGTGAATAGCAAATGTGTGGGGCACCTTCACCTTCGTCATCAGGATCTTGTCCAGATGAACAGGCCGGCCTGTGTAGAAGCGCCGCGCCTCACTGGGAGTCCGTGGCTTGGAAGATAGAGAAGGGGGAAAAAAACTGTAATATTGAAGGTGATTTAGCTTAAAGAGAATAAAGAATATAATTATCTACTTTTGGTTATATGTTTTCATTACATATTAAACTACATATGAAACTAAACCAAATAGTTAATTAAATTGCCCAGTGTATCCTCAGCATTTCCCGGTATGAAAAAAAAAAAAAAAAAACAATAAAATTTTACTTGCTACTTTAAGTGTTGCATTATTTCGCCTTATGTATAAAGTTGGAATCTGGATATGTGAATTACATCGAAGTCAACTTTAAAGTAAAAAACAAAAAGAAGAAAGATATAAGCTGATTGATATGTACAGGGACTAAGGCTCTTAATAAATATTACAAATAGTGTGGGACAATTGCAAATAATCATCAAAGGAGAAAGGAAAGTGTTGCTTCAACATAAGTTTTATCATCATTGCTGTATTGGACATGTCGTAGCAATTCTGTATTTAATGAGACACAAATTGTCAGAGGTGTAAATAAACAGTTTTCAAATCCGTGCCATTCCGATTGAATTTGATATTTCTATCTCGACAACTTCAAAGTTGGACAATAAAGTTTCAGATTAAAAATGGAAGGCATAAATAAGCTTCATTCCTCAACTTCATGAAATACAGAGGGGTAATATATTTCTTCTTTCTTCGTGGCAGTAATGCTTCAGAAACATTGCATTTGTAAGTTTGAATACAGTCAATGTTTTAGTGTTAATGTAACGATTAGAAAATTAAACACAAATGCTTTACATCCTTTCTAAAAACATTGTTGCATAATGAATCTCTGCATATATGCATCATGTCGAGTGGAAAACACTGCGGTTAGCAGATATCAACAGATGTATCACTGCAACGTTTGCAGCTAAAACGGATCTCTGAGTGTTTCTTTACCCAAAACAATTGCATGTAGCTGTCCAGAAATATTACACAACAGCAGCATGATGAGTGTGAGCCAGTTGATAGTTGGGGAGTCAAGTGATGATCCCAAACCCATGAAAGTCCCCAGACAACATTTCGATAGATCAGAAACTGATAAGAAAATGTTTTTCTTTACATCTACATTTAAAAAGTCGTTTGCTTTAAACTGTGTTGCCGTTTGTGTAAAATTGCTGTGCTTGTTGACAGCTATGTGTGGAATGTAGTTCTGCAAGGTATTTTGGAGGTTTTTAGATGGATATCTGGAAACCTCCAAAGCTGCATGCCTTTGTCACAAAAACATTTAGAGCAAACATGTTTAGAGCAAACATGCCTGAGTAAAAATGTCTCCATTGTCAAAAAATATGTTTTTTTTAATTAGTAATTCAATGAATATTATCAGCTACAAAACCACCGTACTGATGCAAAATGATCAACTAGCCGAAGGTTATTTGGAGAGACGGTCTTGCTTTATTTATTTATCCGAGTTTCAATTATCAAACTGACATACACCGCAGCGCCCTGTGCATGAATTACCATTTGTGTGTGAGAGCGAATTAAACTGGTTTCTTCGGAGCAGGTGGAGGCTGTCCCCACGCTGTAGACCGACTCGCTGGTGGAGAGACGCAGGGACTGACTGCTGCTCAGAGAGGTGGTGGACAGCCGCCGCTTGCGTGCTCCACTGCAGTTATTGGGTATGCTGAATGCACAGCGCTTGTGGTAGTTCAGCCCACATCCTGCAGGGGGATGCAAAGATCAAAAAAATAAGGTAGGTAGAAATAAACAGTGCAGCAGAAAGGAGGAGAAGAAGAACATTTGTGGGTTGTAAGAGATCACTTACAACCCACAAAGACATCAGAAAAGATGTCTTTAGGTGCCATTGCATGCGTTTTCTGATAATCGTAGCATCCTCTGCTTCTCACCATCACACTTCAGGCCTTGTCTGACCAGTCCAAACAGCATCTCTCCGCAGTGATCGCAGAAGGCCGGGGCTCGGTACGAGTGGACGTTGAGCGCATGGGGCCGAATCTGGAAATCCTCAAATGTGGCTGCCGCTAAAAAGAGACAAAAGTTAAACAGAGCGGCAGCTGTGGGTGTTAGAGAAAGAAAAAAAAAAAGTCATGTCAGCGTTACTCAACATAAAGCATAAATGTTTGATAGATTAAGTGCAAGTAAAAATTGGAAAGCAGATTGATTTTCTCTCTGATGATGTTTGAAACAGTAAAGGAAGAAAGTAGCCACGTGTGTGTGACGGTAAAATAAGGCCGTCTGTTGTGAACTGAAGCAGGCAGGAAGACAGGAAGAGAGCTGCACTGTTGCTGGGGAAAGACTCACCTGAAAGCACCACTTCCACCAGATCTCCCTCCTGAATGTCACTTGTGGATTTGACCCGTTGCAGGACATTGTTGGAGGTTATGTCATGCTTGAACAGCAAAATCTTGTCATAGATGCCATAAAATCCACACTCTGGGAACTGCAACAAGAAGGAAAATATACATTTAACTGTGGGTGATTTTAACTCAGCAATTTACAGTTTGTAGACAAATGCAATTGTGTGAAACTGTTGCAGAAATAAAGTACAGCCCAAGTCATATTTAGTGTGTTAATACTTAAATTATTCGATCATTATTGGCTTTAAAAGCTATTTAAATCTGCTTTCAGCTTCACAAAATCAGACATGATAGATGCCAGTGTTTTATTATGCATTAAAGAAAGATGAAGCCGAACTGGAAAACTTAAAAAAAAAAAAAAAAAAAGAAAATCAAAATTCTGCTTAGATACAACATAATAATAAGTCTTTGAAATGTAAAGGTTGTGTACTCATATTTTTGCAAGATCTGTCTCAGCTAGGCAATGATTTGCTGGTTTATTAGGAACTGAACCCTGAAATACGTACAAGACAAGAGTTAAAATAAGAACCTCAAACATAATTCAACCAAGAAAGTGCTTATTGTGATGAACTAAAGGTAAATGTTAAATTCTCAAATTCATCACTATCAAATTTTCTCACCAAAAAGAAAAAAGAAAAGAAAAGAAAAAAGAAGCTTTAAATAGCAAAGCAGGCTCGTGATAAACATTTCATTGTTTTATGGAGCTGTTAGGAACACAACATGTTTCAGTAAAACTATAAATTATAAATATATTAGAAGAATACCCCAAAAACTGTAGAAAACAATTTAACAGATCCATCAAGACACAAATGCAACATGTGCTCTTCTAACTTTTGTTTGCAAATTTATTTTATTTTATTTTTTAAATATTAACTATTTTTGTCTTTGTATTCTTATACCTTGACAAAATTAAATATTAAAAATCGGAACCTTAAGGAGGAATTTTACAAGATCATAATTTTACATCAACTATTAAAAAATAATGTAGAAATAAGGTTAAAAAAATCAAAACAAAAAAAAACAAACTTACAACCAAAACTCCAAAAGTGCACACTTACTGTACGCAGCCTACATCTCAAGCAATATGACTCCTAAAGCAAATTTTAATCCACATAAAGTTTCAATAACCTTTGAGGAAAGAGTGCAAACACGTCCCCAGACTCCCAGAAGTGCAAAAGATTGGCAGTTTTTGGACTTCATAAGTTCAGGGAAACAAACACACACACACACATTAGCACGCATGCTAATACGACCAGGCCGCATGTCAAGCAACTTGGTCAATGTGGACGGAAACACAAAGGAGTAACTGCATCTTATCTTCCTTTCAGTCATATCCAAGTGTTCACACAAACATGCTCAGGTGTTTCCACAAAGCTTTTCCACGGATATGAGATGAGAACGTCTATCAGAAGTCAACTGAGCGAGGGAGGCTGTTACAGGGAAACCCTGCCCTCATCAATAGTTAACGCAGTCTGGTTCACTTCAGTGGCCACACCACACAGGACACCACAGACACACACACACACACACACACACACACACACACACACACACACACACACACAGTTTTAAAATAATTTCTCTTATAGCACGTAAAAATAAGCTCAAAATGAGGAACAGAAAAAAAAGAAGAAAGATTTAAGCAGTTGGACAGACTGCTCCCTCACACGTTAGCTCACGTAAAAACATTCAAACTGGTTATATCTGCTCACTTGTTGTGTTGCTTTCCCATTGTTGAGCCAAGATTCTCCATCTGGCCAGACTCTAACTACTTACAGGAAAGGGGACCGTGGTCTCCACCTTCAAATGACACAATAACACAAATACACCTTCTGGCTAACCAACAGGCACACCCTCCTAACAAACACACACACCCTGTCTTTTTCCCCCCTTTCCCTCTTTTGTCCCCCCCCCTACAGCACAAACACAGTCTGTCTCTTAGTTCCCCAACATGCTCTCCCAATCAACCACATCACAAAATCCAGGCCTGGCTTGTAACGCTGCCAAGATACACAGCGAGTCCACCACGCCCCAGCTGCTGGCTACCGCCGCTGACCACAGTCAACAACAAGACACAAAAAGCACATGAAGGTTGTCTTTTCGACACACATTCAAGACCTCTGACCCATTTTGAGAGCGAATCAAACATTAACTGTGTCAAGAGAGTCCATGAAGTAAATCAAACCAAGACAATAAACTACAGTCATCCAAGTAATAAATGTTATTCACTTGATTTTAACTGAACAAAGCTATTCTACATAGCTTGTTGCTCATTAGTTGCAGATGTCTATGCATTTGGCAGACACTTTTTATTCAAAGCGGCTTCCAAACGAGGCTACAATGCAGTGAATATCAAAGCTAACAGTAAAAAAAAAAAGACAATTTGACAGGTTCTGTCAATGGTGACAAAAAACAGAATAACACCAACGTTCCCTTTTTCAGCATCCTATATGAGTGATTTACATGGTTAGCATTAGCTATCCTCATCAAAGGATCGTTTGATAGCATTAGTGTAGAAATACTATCAGAAATGGGTGAAAGTGTAGAAATGGAGGGAGGTGAAGACAGAGTGCAGCAGAGAGACTAGGGCATTCATAAGAGTAGGAGATACTTTCTGAAGAGTCAGGACTTCAAGCGTTAGGATGCCTCTGTTCTGGTAGAGCATGGTAGGACATTTCACAACACATGAAATGACCTTTGGATCTTCATAAAATTCAAGACAATAGTCTGGATTTGCTTGAGTGTGATGTACGCACTACTGGCTGACAATCCTGTGGTGGTCAGAGTGACTCTGTTGTGACATTTGCGAGCGCCTTGGAGTAGATGGGAGCCATTTTGTTAAGGACTTCGTAAATTAACGGCAGCGACTTGAGTTCGATGAGGATAGCTAATGCTAACCATGCAAATCACTCATGTAGGATGCTAAAAAAAGGGAACCTTGGTGTTATTCTGTTTTTGTTTTATGATAGTAAAAAGAAACAAACACTGTTTTTCAGTGATGGTCTTGAAATAGCATCCCATTGAAAGACTATTATCCAATATTCAAGGCAAGCAGAGCAGGAGTCAACAGAATGGTGTCATTGCCTTTGAAATGTGGAAATCTGTAAAGACTTTGTCAGAAGATGGAAAAGATCAAATGCCAAGGATCAATGCTTAGCATCTATTGAAGCTTCAAACTCAAACGTCACTGAAAACTAAAATTAGACTCTAAAGTGAATGGCGCTTACTGATAATGGAGTGTATTATGGGGCAAGCTGCATGTTGAGACATAGAGAAAGAAACAGTTTTAATGTTTTAATGTATGCTGACAGCGGAAGCAGATGATCAGTCGCATGAGGTACATAAATGTTTGCTACATCAGAAATTAGTTTCCATCTCCCGTTTAGCGCAGTAACTCTTTTTCAGAAAAAGCCAAAAAGAAAAAAAAACATCACGTAAAACCTTTTTTTGAGAAAATGAAAAAGTTGTTTTGAATTCTAATATTTTCATCTTTTTCTCATCTTTTCTAATGCAATACATCAAAATGGGCTTCAGAAAATATTGATACAAATTAAACTGAAAACTATTTCTGTTAATTGGGGTGAAAAAGTATTTTCAGGCCTGAAAAAACATGCAATGGAACAGGGACAACGTGACAGAGATTTTTCCCTCGTTTTTATTTTACTTTTTTCAGATTTTCTCTCCAAGTTTTAGGTTTCTTTTTAATCCTGACAGACGCCTGCAGGGAACGGTTCTGGCTCCTGGACAATTAGACAATACAGACATCAATAAACTCAGACTTTACTCTTTTCCAACAACAGCCCAAAAGCTCTGTGACAGCAGTGATTCATGTAATAGCTACATGAATCAGTAACATAGGACCGCCACAACTGAGACCCAGTGCTGCCATCTGTAATTACGAAACACCCACAGAGCCGAGATCAGAACACACTTCAAGCGCACAAATCCACCACCAATCATCTTCTACAGGCGACTCTTAATGCCAGCCAGTCTACCATAAACTCCCCGCCGTTGCCGCTCCTCTCGATACGGAAAACTCAAGAAACAAGGCAAGTCATAAAACCCTCCACCGACCGCTCAAAAAACACTCGGCCCACCGACCGCAGAAAGTGACTGCCAAGTCTACGCAGACACACCTCTTTACCACACCACTGAAATGCAAAGGGTTCAGACTCCACAAACCACTGCTGCCTTCAGAAAAATACCCACTTTTCTTAATCTCGCATTCAGTTTGCTGTGAGAGCAGAACGAGGGTAAAATATCTGATTTCAATTTTAGCTTTATGAGAAATGCGTACAGGTCGTCAGGTATGTGATCACCCCACACGTTTGTGTACACGGCGGACATCAGGTTGTGCATGTAAAGGTTAGGAGAGTGTTGTTACTTGGGATTATGCGAGTGTGAAAAGCTGCATGTGTTATTGCATTTACTGTACAGACAGCATGCCTTGCCTGGAGGGGAAGCGGCTCTCGCACTGCACCCTTTATGTTGTCAAGCGTCAGGTTTCCCACTGCTTCCTGTTCAATCTTTGCACCAATGAACTCATTATAAGTGAAATTAATTATGGATTAGGCATTCTTCACTTAGTCATTTGATTCTATTCCCAAACACTTGTTTTCCTTGGTTGCAAACAAAGCAACGAGGCACCATTAATGAGAGGGAACGTCAAATTTTTACTGCCGTTTTAGCAGCTGCTATAAAATTGTTATGAGAAAACGCCATCATCTCCATAAACTGATTGCTGCATGTTGAAGTTTTGGACGCTGTGAAATTCTTTCTACACCAAATCATTATCAGACATTGAGATTTCATTTTGCTTAATTTCAAGCTGGTTTCAGAATGACTAAACAATAAGCCAATATTTGATATGAACCAATAATCTAACAACTATTTCCTGTTGTGGTTAACTTTCTGCCGTCGTCAATTCGGGGCTTATATTTCATTCAAAAACGCTAAATTACAAACGCCGTCAAGTTTAGCGTAGGGTTATTTAAGTTTGTCCAGTTGTGTCACTTTTGTTTCAGCCGTGTGGGTTTATCGAAAAGCTACAGGGTGGCTCATCTAAAGACAGACCATCTTTAAA